GATTAAGGGTGCACAAGCAACATGCAATGGGAGAGGTTTTATCTTTCAAGAAAGAGGTCCCTGACCTCTCCTCAGTGTGTCTGTACAGCAGCAAAGACTGGGCATTGCTGGAATACAAAAGCTAAGACTATGTCTGGCACTAAATGCCACGTTAAGGAATGAGATAATTTCTCAATTGCTTTCCTCTATGACCTGGATATTTGCCATCTTCTGCCCATTTATTGCCTGGTCTGGGTTCAGATCACCAAGTCTTGAAGCACATAGCAGAATTGCATCAGGCTTCCAGAATAACGTCTGGTTCCCAAAGGTGAGGCACTCAGCTGCAGCTGAAGGAAGAATTGAAATGCTTCTGCTTTCCTGTCATTGGAACCCTTTTTCTCTGCCTTCAAGACTCCCTAGTTTCAAAGGCCAATGCAATAAATAAAGCAATAGTCAGCTGACAGTTGTGAGCCTTCCTGGAAGGGGAAACCAATTTGTTCATGGGCCTGAAATCACAGCTCATTTATCAGGCCAGGCTTGCAGTATTCCCTCGCACTGCACTCCCCAGGGGCCTCCGAGAAGCATGCAGGTGGCCGATCCAGCCAAGGCTTTTCATCGGCACTAATCTAACAAACCCAAGGAAGAGACCGTGTGAGCGTGGGCTGGAGCCCACTGCTCCCGCTCATCTCTGATAAGAGCTGCAGAGCAGGTGCAGGGAGGAGGAGGGGGGGAGTACCACAGGGATGCTGCTGTCAGAGCACGCATGACTACAAGCCTGTTACAGCTCTCTAGAGAGGTGGAGCAGGGGGAGTTGTGCTGTCTTCTCTGTCTGTCGACCCCAAAGCAAATTCAGGAGGATGAAGGGAGGGTGAGCGTAACACTTCAGTGGTATGCTCAAAACCTTTTGTTATTTCAAAATGCACGTAAAGCTAAACATTTCAGTTATTCCACCAAAAATCTGCCTCAGAAATAACTACTTGCTATGAAACACTTCTATTTCAAAATACCTCTATTTTCCACTGAAAATGTTTTGCCTGTCTCCAAGTAGGATGCATTTCTGGCTGTGAAGCAGGCTGAGGATGCTTGGGGTTACTGCCTACTGACATATAAACTGGCCTCTGTTACACCAGACTCATCCCGTTGGTGGCAAGACTGGCTGGACAAGAATTGTACAGAAATGTTTCTTTACCATTTGGATTTCCTGACGGATTGCATATGCGCTGCACCTTGTGGGAATTCAGTCAGAAAGAGCTCACCAGGGATGTTAACACACGGGACTGAGAGACTGCCAGCACTGCAGAAGGGACCGCTCGGCTGGGAGAGCTTTAAACAGGAATTCATGCGCTCCAGATAGTGTGGGGTTCTGGTTACTCCTCTCCTACAGCTGAAGGGGATGAAACACATGCACAGGGTCACCACATACATCATCTTACCCTTAACCCTGGCACACAGAATTAGCTTTCTTAAGCAAAATCCTTCCCAGAGATGCCCGGTTGTGAGCAGCTGCAGCAGCCGTTCAGTACCAAGGAGAGGGCAGCCCCCTCCTGCGGGATCCCTGCTCCAGCCAGCCCTCAGTCCTCAGAACCAGCACTTCAAACCCCATTAACCACCGAGCTGGCATCCTTGCAAGGCCTGCTGCTGAGATCCCTAACATTCGTAATAATCCCCCCCGCCTTTATCTGCTCCACACATCACTGTGCTATAATTGGGATTCCCTGGCTCTAATTCCCAACCTTTTGCACATTTTAAAAACACTTAACTCCATCCTACACATAACCAGGAAAGAGCATCACCTAGACTTCTCAGTATTTAACTTGGTTAAATTTATCATACTACTTTTTAACAATATTTTGTCTGCCTCTTTTGCTAGACCTGAGCTGCTGTTTCACACTTTTGTCCACACTTTTCCCTCTTCTTCCCCCACCATTTTATCAAAGGAACTTTCCTCTCCCTGAACTTGGTGGCACTTGTTACTACTTTTTTGATTGTTCGCTTACCGAGGCTGCTGTTCTCTGATGAAAGATGAATTGTCATTCTTACTTCAGCAGTTTCTTGCTCCAGCCAAGCTCCATCAATAATTCAGCCAGGCCTCGCTAACGTTAGCTCTGGATGAATACAACACTCATGCCAATTAACAGGTTGAAAGGGCTCAAGAGATACAGGCAAGAGATTTCTCTTAATTTCTTTTTAAGCTCTTTTCTGAACTTCTAAAAATTGAGCTAGTTCAATGAGTAAAGCAGAGCAGGGAGTCTGACACAGTTCAAAAGGCACAAAGAGGCTTAAACAATTGATGTGCTAAAGCCCATCAAGCTTGGTTCCCTCGCTTGTCTCCACCTCCTCTGACTGATATTACATTTTATGTTACTCAGGACAAAGCCTATCCCTGTTCATATGCTCCTAGCTTAATAAGATGCTGGAACACAACTGCAGCATGTCTAGACAAACATCTTTGTTTATCTTTGCTTATGAACAGCGTTGCTTGACTAGCCTTGGGCAAAAGCCAGCTAAATCTCAGAAAAAGTTACTCGAGTATTTTAGTTGCCCACCTGGAGACACTGCAAAGGTTGCTTTCAAGTGTTCAGTGCTCAATTCTATATGAGGCCCCATTAGTTTTCTCCTGTTGGGCATTACCCAAATCACCAATCTTTTTTCAATCCCCAGCATCCTTGGCCACAGCAGCCTGCAGCATAACAGCTCAGACCTCATAGATTTGCGGAAGGGATAATCAGTCTGTAGACGCAATTGCCTGAGATGACTGCCACGCCAAATACCATTCTAGCAGCTTAAACAGCATGTAGACCTTGTGGCAGCTCTCAGCACAGGGGTGACTAACAGTCATAAAGCGCTCAGAGCTGCTCAGATGGAACTAGCTGCAGATGCACAAACTCTTGCTCACTCTCTTGCTGCATCGTTAATGAGTGCTTGATTTAGGTACTGATCTCCATCTTCACCTACTGCAAGGCACTGAAGTATTTGAAACTGCCTGTAAAGAACAGTGATCTGGAGTGACTCGGAAACTATATATAGGACCCTATGGACAGAGTATGTGTGACTTAGATGGCAAACAGCCTTGTCTTCCTGCTCTCATCACTGGCCACTCACTGAACTTACAAATTTGGAGAAAGTTCAGAGAAACAGAAGGAGTAATTAGCTGCGTGGAGGCTAGTAACAGGTTTGAAGAAGGTCTTTCCCTCCTGGGCATTGTTGTACTCACCAAGGGTGGGTGGAAGGCTTGAGCTTGTTACTAGTTGGCAGCTGCTCTAAGACCTTCCTGGACTACAGTCCTGATCTTGATTCCTATTCCAGGGGAGAGAGAGTGCTAGAGGTAGTTTTCTGTCAAGGATTAAGGACTGAATGGGGTTCAGGCCCCACAGCAATTTAAACAACGGTAGCTAGAACCAGCCTCCATTACTGGTCTGCTCTTTCTAGTAAAAATACAAGAGTTGAGCAATGAAAATGCCTCAACAGCCCTAACTAATCAGTAGCTGTGGCAGAAAGGAGACAGCTACCCAGACAATTAAGAGACAAAATGGATGTAATCTCAACACAAGAATACAGAGATCCAGAGTCAGCTCAGCAGCTTAGCAATGCTTTGCAAACCCTTATGACCACAAAGAAGCTGTACTGATACTGGTAGTAGAAGGGGGCATTGGGAAAGAAGTGGTAAGTCATCAGAAAGGGGAGAAAAGTAGGAGGGTTGGTACCGACACCACAGAAGTCCCTTGCTGGAGGCATGCAGTGGCTGCACCGCCTATGCTGTTTGTAGGGTCACAATTATAGTAAAGATCAACCCCAACCTTTGCAAAAGTCTGCTCCTTCTAGTTTTCTCTTATCAAGCTAAAAAAACCTCCCGCAGAAAGAGCTTTTTTGTCTTCTCCTGATGCCACCTAGCGACTGTTCCCAGCCTGTTCAGCTTGAGTTCAGTACTTGGTTCAGGCCCTCGGAACCACTAAGCAACCACAATTTTTGCAGAGGAAAGGATGGTGCAACTGAGTGGGGTCAGTGATTGACAGGAATTACATGACACTAGCAGGGAGATAGGCAGCTACAAAACAGCTTGGAAGGCTGTACCAGAGGCAGCATTTGGACTAGGGAATAGCTTGGATAGAAGGTACTGACTTCTGCAGCATAGAGGGTGACAGAAGCTGGAGCTATTATGCAGTCAGGTTACAATACAAAACATGCAATGGGATCACTCTTCAGAGCTCATTTTTGATGGTAACTTGTCATCCCTAGAGACAAGGGAGAGAGGAAGTCAGACCAACTACAGAGTGCCCCTGGATGTCTTCTGACAAGCACAGCAAACTTTCAGGATCTCGTTTCCACCCCCACACTCTCTCCAAAGAAGGACACCAACCCACACTGATGTCACCTTAACCAGAGCCAAGTGTTTAATTGATTGCAAGGGAGTGACAACTGTACAGTGGTTGTGCTGGGAAGATACCCACTGCACAGCGGTGGTACGGAGTCTTTAAAACAAAAGTAAAGTGGAGGCAGATCCATCTCACAACAGAGTACAGCGAAAAACAACTTATGCATCTCGGGATTCTGGGGGCAGCATTAGAAATAATGATGCCTCCTAAGGACTAGCAAATACCCAGGCCTGAGGCATCTCAGCATGATTGAGATGAGAGATTTGTCAGCACAACTGACTCCCCAGCATCAGTACTTAACAGCAGGCAATGGATGTAAGGTTTGTTTTTTATATATATATATATATATATTTATATTTATATATATAAAGCGCCTATCACCATATTGATAAACATTCTTTGGAACCACTCTGACGGCAGAGGTAAGAACAGGAGTCAGCCTGTCAGTACCTCAGCACTTCTGTGTCCAACCAATTTAAAAAAAAAAAAAAAAAAAAAAAAAAAAAAGCCACAAGACTGCTGCCAGCCTGCCTGGCTGGTGTTTAATACTGCTACTCCATCAGGGTTGGAGGGAGACCTATTGTGAATGGCAACAGTTTGCACTGTGACTTCTCCAACTGTGCTGCAGAACAGTGCAGGTGTCGCAGAAGGGCAGTGGGACATGAAGGCTCAGACCCATTACCAGTCAAAACGTCTCAGCAGCAGGGAGCTCCTATGAGGAGAGAGCAAGCTAACTTTGCGCACAAAGCTCTCGCTCTCTGTGCTTAAGGCTGAGTCAGTGACCCTTCTGGACTCTTCCCAGGTTTCAGAAGATCACCAGACAGAAATACATGTCAGTTATAAATACATCATGTCAGTTGTAGGGGGTGGAGGTAGGAGGGGGGGCACAGGGAGGGGAGAATTTAGAATGGGTGCAGGGAGGAGAGAAAGGAAAAAGACATCTTACGTTTCCAGCACTGGAAAGAACAGTTTTGACCTCACGCAATAAGTCACTGGACCTTTTCAATAGTCTTATCTGGCTTATGCCCCATCATCTTTAACACATCATCAAAGGGAATGTTGGCTGGCAAAGGGTTAAACAATCCCACACAGTGGAGAGCAAATCTGCAGTCTGCTGGGAAGGTCCCAGCCACATCACTGACGATCTCAGGGTCCAACTTGAAGGAAGGAAGCAGCTTCTCAGTCTCACACATCGCTCAGGGCCTGGAGACAGGCAAAGACAAAAAAGTGTCAGGATGGACCTGCTGCAGCTCTACCAGTCTTTAACAGAAATATGGCTCTGAAACACAACCAGGGCATTTGCCTTCATTCCTAGGACACTCTGGAACATGCAGTTGCAACCAAGTTAGGAGATGATGGAATGATGCAGAAATACAGACTATCCTTCAAGAAGGCAGACTAAACTATGCTAGAGCATCCTTTCTTTACCCTCTGGTTTGCGCTACAAGCCACAGCCACATTTTATCCAAGACTTTTGGAGCTTTCCAATGGGAAACACCAGTTCTGCAGGCTCTTGGACTTAGTTTTGGTAGGTGAATTAGAGAGTGATCTGCCATCAAGGTATGGGACATCAACACAAAGAACAGTTCCAAACTGAACTCCAGTCTTCTCAGACTGACTCATACTCTGCTATGTCATACAAAATGCTGTCCTGCTCCAACTTGCCCACAGAAGCCTTTAGGGCTGCAGGAAATCCTCAGTCCCGTATACTCCCACTCCTGCAGAAGAAAAGTCATAACTCATCCTTGATGGAGGAATAGCAGCACAGCCTTGCTTACCTTCCGTGCAAACTCTGGCAGAATGAAAGCTGCCCGATGAATGTCAGAGTTGTAGTATTTCAGACTCCTCTCCTCTACTTGTTGCTGTGAGAGCTGCTGTACAGGCTCCCGGAAATTTGTGTTCTGCAAAAAAGAAGCCAGATAGCTCTGTAGCATTTGGGTAACAAGCAAAAGGCTGTGTGACAGGCATCCTGATTCATGGCAAAGAACCGAGAGGATTCGCAGGAAAACAGATGACTTTCTGTTCCAGTATGAGGTCAAAGGTTCTGCACAGCTCCAGCCCCAAGGGCTGGAGTTTACACTCTGTAGCTTGTGTGACTAGCCCTTATTCACAGATGTCAGTGTATGAGGTCAGACTGTGTGTGAGCCATGTGCCAGATGAAGCTGTCAGATTGTGCCTGAGCATGTAAGAAGCAAGGCTTTTGCTCTTCAGAGCAGAATCCACGTCTGCGTTAACTGAGGCACAGTGCATGCTGCCAGTGCCCCAGATAAATCAAATACAGCAGCAGAAGTGCCGCTGGCTCCCTAAACCAACATGACAGTTGCATTACAGGCTTGCTGTAATGCAGCAGATGGGGAAGAGAGCAGACCTCAGTGGTCTGACACAGAGTTACCAGCCCACATCCTAACACTGACTCTCACTTGGTGGCTTCTGTATGAGCAGATTACCAGTGGCAAGCCAACTCTTATTAAGCAGGTGCTCACTTCATAACAGCCAGCATCAATAAGCCAAAGCCTTAACAGGCTCTGGAAATTGGTGGTGGCTTTCTCCCTTCCAAATTTGTTATACTAGAGAGAAAATCGTGTCCTTTTCTAAGGCAAGTGGTTACATTACTGGTCAATTCTGCACTTCATTCAGCACTGAGCAAGCTGCATTGCAGCTCTGGAGCCCTGGGCTGGTGGAGCCAAGGCCCAGCATGAGTCTAGAGGCCCCACAGCTGGGAGAGCTCAGTGCCACAGCTCAAGCTCTGTAAGGGACAGCCTGAGGCAGACTCTGTGGGTGCTTTCAGGGTGTGGAAAAGGGCACTTCAGGTGCCCGAAACTCACTGGGTTCTTGCTGCAGAGCATGAAGCCAATCTGCCCGCTGGGATATGTAGGGATGGTGCAATAGGCGTATTCCACAACAGGGAACAGAGACTTGCAGAACTGACGCATCTCCTTAATGAGATCCAGGTGCAGCCACTGGCACTCACCTACAGGGAGAAAGGAAGACAGGATGCAAGGTGAGAGCTGCCCCTCTTCTCTGCACAGGCCTGTGCCAGGTTAACAGTGGTTCCAAGTCCAAACCTGCTCCATTCCGCACAGCTCATGCGGTTTCAAAGGCAAGATAAGACCCTTATGCCAGTTTTACTAAGCGCAGTCCATCAGCTAACGAGTTGATGTATACAGATCAAAAGCACTCCTGTACCTGGGAGCTGAAATGGATTTCACTCCCTGCATCATGTCTCCCCAGGAAGAGAGTCCCCTTTGTGCCTCACACTTTGCATGCAATGACCTGGCATCAGTCTCTGCCCAGAGATAGCATCCTCACCTTGGCAGCAAAGAATCCCATCTTCTCGCAGGGCTGTCTTCATCAGCTGGTAGTAAGATTCTTTGAATAAGCTTTCTGCAGGACCTGGGAGAAAAGTGAGTAAAGAGATATGTCTATAGAGAGACTAAGATGGTAGGCTTCTGAGAGTTTTCCAAATGCCCAAGCTGCACAGGGACTGCACTGGAAAAGTGACATTTCAAATGGCTTTTCAGTGATCACAAGTGTTGCGAGATATTCTGGAAGCAAAAAGTTTTGACCCTGGGTGAACCCCAGCATGCACCTGGCACAGCAAAACCATCAGGATTTTAGCTTTGCTCAACGAGCAAGCCCAGGACCTTTGTAACAAAGAAAGTCCTAGCAGCTGCCTCTCGCTTCAGTGAGCATTTTTTAAACGGAACTCCTGCTCCACACTGCCTTTTAGAGACACATCTCTTTACGTTGACTCTAGCAAGAGCAAAGGTGGCTCAGGCACTTGTCGTTAGGTCCCTAAACCAAGGTGCCATAAGTACATTTGGTCCCTCTCTACCTCAGTTTTCCCCTTCAGAAATACACCAACCTCACCACAGCTGTCTTTAGGCTAGGTAGCTACACTGACAGCACGTGAGCCGCTGCTTCATTAGCGGGCACATGTGCAAAGCTGTCTTTGCCAGTGTGGTGCTGTATCCCCCGTGGGACTACTGGACTCAAGGATCAATTCTCTTTCAGAAGCAATAGCTGCTGGAGTTGAATTTTGAGGAGAAAAACATGACAGCTGGCTTGAAGCCTTGCTAATACAATTTCCTGTCTTCATCCTTTCCTTTCTCTACCAAAACAACCAAGTCAGTGACAGTCTTTTCACCTGAAAGGAGCCTGGGCAGGCTAGCGTTACTTCCAAGAGGTAGGCAGAAGAGAAAAGGAGAAGTGTGGAAAGCAGTACCCTTTTATGGCCAGAATTCTTACCCATGGGGTCAGACGAGTCCGTGATAATCACATCAAAGGCTTCTTGATTTTGTTTCATGAACTCGAAACCATCTCCCACATGCAAGGTCAGCTTAGCACTGGAATATCCCACTGCCATCCCTGGGAGGTATTTCTTAGATACCTGGATCACATCCTGCAACACACAGAGCACAAGTTGGTCAGCGGGGGCTACGAGGAGCTACTTCTCAGGCTACTGTGCAGCTGCAGCTGAAAGAAAGCACAATGAGTCATTTCCTTCCATGCCTTCAGCACAAATCCAACACACTAGCTAGATCCTCAAGAGCTGTCAGCATCTTTAGCCAACAAGCTACACTCAACCCTTTCCTATGGCCTCAGGGTTCAGTGACACTGTTGGTCTGTCCTTGCCAAACTCAACAAGAAGAACTTAGAGCTTCAAAAGCTCCCCGAGGAACTAAGAGAATACAATTACAGATCTGACTGCTCTATGCTCCTTTTCCCTGTAGACATCACTTGCAGAGGTGATCTCAGCTAAGGACTTTTTTTTTTTCCTAAATAAAACCACGCCAGCAGGTTTCTGGATGCAAGATGAGAAATATTTCTACCTCTGCTCTATAGTCATTACATCAATCCCCACATAAGACGCAGTTTTCTCTTTAAAATGGTTAGACAGCCACTGCTCTAGGCCCAGCAATTGTACTGAACACTACCAGCTTCTCACAGCTGGCAGAGACAAAAAAATATGCTGGTGTCAGGCAGTGCTTGTTCAAAACCAGGCACATATGCCTACTTAGCTTGGCAGACAGCATACACAGTCTTGTACGGCAGCGTTTCCCATTCCTAATACAGCCTCGCTTTGAGGAGACAACAAAACTTTCTAAGAAAGTAAAATATCAAAACAATCTGACCAATAGGAGGAGGAAGACCAGCCCATCTATCACGGAAACAAATATCCCCTGCTTATTTCCTGCTTTCAGTCGCAGGAGCCTGCTTAACAAAGCCACCATCCTCCTCTGGCAGGAGCGGCACTCTGCTCTGCATCGGCGAAGAGGGAAAAGCAGCACCTTCACAAAGCCAGAGCTCTCCTCCTCCAGATCCCACGTTTGGCCCACGCTGGCCTGGAAGGGCCTCTGCTGTACGTGTGTGAAAGAAATCACATGAAAGAGGCAGCCAGCTGCCACGTAGATGACTCGTAAGGCAAAAAGGTGGCGCTGTCAGTGTCACGCCAGCAGAACCGGCAGCAAACACACTCGCTACTGACAAGGGACAGCAGGTGAAGCAGCAGCTCCCGTGGATGCTGTGAAGTAGGGCTGCTTTTTGCCGGGCAGCCCGCCCGTCCGACCGAAGCCCCGGGGCACGTCCAGGGAGCTGGGAGCCCAACGCACCTCATCGATTTCGCACTGCACCACGGACTCCACGGTTGGGTGCTTCACCACCTCTCGCAGCACTCCCCCGTCGCCGCCACCGATGATCAGCACCTGGGAGAGGAGAGGGCAGAAAAAACGGCCATCAGCGGGGTCGGCTCACGAAGGAACTTTCACGGCACGGCCTAAGGAGGAGGGCTCGAAACCCAGCAGCCCGCCGGGCTCGTCCTGCCCCGGCGCATGGAGATGTGCTCCGGAGGTCCACGAGGGCTGACCGCGACGCTCTGTCAAGAGCCGAGCATAGGTGCACCAGAAACGACGGCCCACGCCGGGCTCTCGCCGCGGCAGCCCTGATGGGGCCGGTTGGGAGGACGGGGGGGGGGGCGGGGCGGGGGGCCCCCGGGCCCCGGCTTGGGGAGACCCCGCGGAGGGGGCCGGGGACGACTCACCTTGCGGGGGTCGGGGTGGCTGCAGAGGGGCAGGTTGGCGATCATTTCCTGGTAGGAGAACTCGTCCCGCTCCGTGCACTGGATCACCCCGTCCAGGACCAGGACGTTGCCGTAGGTGGTGCTGGGCAGAGCGGGGAAGCGGGGTTGGAGCCGGCCCGCGCCCCGGGCCCGGGGC